ATAGTTGAATCAGAATCAGAATCAGAATCAGAATGAGCTTTATTGCCAGGTATGTTTACACATACGAGGAATTTGTTTTCGTGACAGAAGCTTCCACCGTGTAACAGAATGAAAGTGACAGAACAAAAAACACAGATAATAAAAAATAGAACAAGTAAATAAGGAATAAAAAATATACAAATCGACAATCGACAATTGTATGTCCAGGTATAGAACAATAGACAGTTGTATGTACAGGTATATTATGTGCAAATTGAAATATAGACTGAGTATGTGTGTTAGATAAATAAGTGTATGAGTGAATAAATAGTGTGTGTTCCACAGTTATTGTTAAGTGTTCATGAGATGGATTGCCTGAGGGAAGAAACTGTTCCTGTGTCTGGCCGTTCTGGTGCTCAGAGCACTGTAGCGTCGACCAGATGGCAACAGTTCAAAGAGGGAGTGTGCTGGATGTGAGGGGTCCAGAGTGATTCTGCCAGCCCTTTTGCTCACTCTGGATAAGTACAGTTCTTGGAGAGAAGGGACGGTTGTACCAATGATTCACTCAGCAGTCCGGACTACCCTCTGTAGTCTTCTGAGGTCAGATTTGGTAGCTGAGCTGAACCAGACAGTTATTGAAGTGCAGAGGACAGATTCAATGATGGCGGAGTAGAACTGTTTCAGCAGCTCCTGTGGCAGGCAACATACTCAAACTACAGGTATGTCTGTTCAGTCTGACATCCACGGATTTCCAGAGCAGGAAAGAGGATGATCAACGTGTTCTATTTAACGATAAGTTCCCGTTTGTCATTGTTGTAGGACATCAACTTGGCCATTTTAATCCTGACAATAAAGGTCGAAGGATTATTTTCCAGTTTAATAATAAATTATTTCTAAGACTTCTAGCGTATCCTGATCTAAAGATCTAAAGGTCTGTCTTCGGCTCAGTAATAGCATTTCTGCTAGATCTGCTGTAAAGTGTGGTGTCAGGCGAAGTTGGTCCATCTCTCCTTACCTTTTTCTGATAGATGCAGAGTTTTAAAATATACTGTAAAGTCTTGTGAAGGACAGATGAAACAGCGTTTTTCCTGAAAAATACCTCTCAACTTTCCACTTATCACGAGCAAATGTTTTCAGCTTGGGGGCTTATTTACAAACATAATTTTTGGCCCACACATTTTTAAATATTTGTAAAAAATTTTTGGAATAACTGTAATATTCTATATGAGAAAATCTAGCCAGGAAAATTTTCCCCCCCAAAATATATACAATTATATAAATTGTATTATATTATTAATATTTATTATATTATTATATTATTAACCACAGATTTTTTACCATATAAAGCATGTCTTACAAATCTGTAAAAATAATATTGACACATCCTGGTCTTTTTGTAAATATTAAAATAAACTAAAAGTCATCTTCCTTTTACTCAGTACTTTTAGAATAAAATTAATGCTCTAATTATTCAAAATGTATTATGTGGTTTTTCTTTGTCTTATAAACTTATAAATATTATTTTTTTGGGTTTTATATTAACGGTCAGGTTTTGTATAAATTTACTTTTGTTTATTGTAAAGTTTTACATTCATGAATAAAATACACAAAAAGTAAACCCCACTTTAACAAGCAAGCATTGAAACTTTATGTAGATTAAACAATATGTAAACTCTGAATTCTGAGTTCTAACAACTCTGCTTTTATTTTATTTTTTGTTTCCACTACAGAATAAAAAAGGAAATTGCAACTTTTTAATCTCACAATTCTGACTTCTCAGAATTGCACGTTCAGCTACATTTACCAGTTAACATCTCACAGTTCTGAATTTTCTCTCCTAAACGCAGAGGCGGACAGTAACTAAGTACATTTACTTGAGTATTGTACTTAAGTACACTTTTTGAGTATCTGTACTTTACTTGAGTATTATTTTTTCTGGAAACTTAAATGACTTTAACTTCACTACATTTGAAAGACAAATATTGTACTTTTCACTCCACTGCATTTCTATCAAGGTCCTCGAAGTAGAAAGTCGTTACACAGTGGTTCCCAATCCTGGTTCTGGAGAACCCCCAACACTGCACATTTTAGATGTCTCCCTATTCAAACACACCTGATTCAACTCATCAGCTCATTAGTGAAGACTCTGTAGGGCTACATGAAGTGATTTCCCAGCATTTTTTGAACACTGACCAGTTCCATATGTGATATTTATTTACAACAATTCAATAATAAGAAGTTAATATTGTGGTTTATATTAGACACAATATTGTCTGATTTTGCTAAATTGTGTAAGTGAAAATATTAGCTATAAAGCCACAGAAGAACTGTTGTGCGTCTCCTAATAAAACACAAAAGGTGTTGGACTTGAAGCAGCACTGCAGGGACTGTTCTGTGTCTGACATCAAAGTACCACGAGAGCGATTAGACAGCATTTTTAACATTTTTGTTTTGTTTTGTTTTGATGTCAAATAAGTCTTGCTGTTTTGCTTTTTTGTTAAAGCAGTGTTGCTGTTGTAAAGTTATACAGCTACAGTTGTGTTGCTGGGTTTTAAAGCAGGTTAGATTTTTTATTTTCCTTATCACTCTGTATTTACAGGATTTCACTGTACTGTATTCAGTAGGTGTAATGTATTCTAAGTTGCTTCAGAAGTATTGCAATACGTACAACAATAAAACAGTGCATTGACATAAAAAAGGAAATTTACTTTTGGTACTTAAGTACTTTTAAAAGCAAGTACTTCTGTACTTTTACTTAAGTAAAAATCTGTCTTTACAACTTTTACTTGTAATGGAGTAATATTTGACCAGCGGTATCTGTACTTTCACTCAAGTAATGGAGTTGAGTACTTTGTCCGCCTCTGCCTAAATGTGAGGAAAAAAAGTCAAATTGTAACATGTAAACTCGGAATTGAAAGAAATTACAATTACCTATTTTAGTGATTGATATTTATTCTGTGACTTAAACACACTTCCATACTATGGAACTCTAAGAGCTTAGAACAATGTTTTTCTGCCATTTTTGAATTTGATGAAAAATCTTGTGTGCCAAAAGTTCAGACTTCTCAAAATGTTGTAAGAGAAGAAGTCATTTAGCCAGTGCAAACTGCTATTAGTGCAGATGTTATGGGCATTTATTGCATGATCTATAGGATTACTTCAGTGATGTAGCAAATCAGCTAAAAAATTACCATTAATTACAATTATTTATATCAGCTGCCAGTAGTAACTGTAGCAGAATTAAATTGCCATCTACCAATCTGTTCGTCCAGCGAACATTCAGTGTAAGTTCATATATGCCATATGCCATTTCTCTAATGGCTTCATTCATCCACTTTAGCTCCCCTCTTGTATGCATGCGTAAGTATATGTTTGTTTGTTTGTTAGACTAGTTTGTGTTAGTGTTTAGTTAATAAAACTCTTGTGCACAAATTACATGAGTTTCTGATTCTGCCTTGCAAATTAATGTCCCTTTAGGATTTTGATCCTTACTACATGCTCTAATGCATTAATACTGTCTGTATGAAGCCATTAGAGAAACCAGAGAATGCAGTTATGGAAAATGAGTCAGAACCACCTGAGTTAAAAACCATCAGTGCCGTTTTACAACGGGGTCTACCGCTTATGAAGAGTGATGAACTCCAAAGATGTTCTGACTCGATGGTGATTAGGAGTTTCTTCCCAGTGAAAAGTGAAAAAGAGCTAAGAGAGACATCGGCTGAGATCCTAGGATCTTTGGTGAATCTAAAGACAAGGCCGAAGCCTGGTGCAGACTTAAAGGTCCCATATTGTCAAAACTGAAATTTCCTGGCATTTTTCATGATAACTGAGGTCTAGGGGCTATTTAACTACCATATAAGTTTCAAAACAGTCAATCCACAGACAAATGCACACAGCCTGCATAAAGTAGCTGTAATTTGTCACGAACCGTTGTGGACTTCACGATGTTGAGCCGGCATCGTGATCCTCCCCCCCCATACCCCCCACAATCCGGCCGCATCCCAATACCGTGTTCGGAAAGAAAATGACGTGTACTACGGAACCCCTAAAGTTAATAAATACGAGATGAGAGGAAAATATATATTTCAATACTTTTCTCTCGCAGTTATATCATTGGGTAATTATACTGTTTAAATTGCGGGCATCAGGCGGGGAGCTGCTATTATGCCTGGCAATGAAACTGCTTTTGAATGCACGATTTTAGTTTCATTTTCACTTTGGAGATTCGCGATCACACGTACTTTGTTTATACTATGGAGCGCCAGTACTTACCACACATTTTACAAGATTAGATGTTTGTCAGAGGTGCTCAGGATCTGCAATTCGCCATCGTCCTCAGTCATCTGTCCTTACTCTGTTTATGTGGTAAGTGAAATTTTATGTACTGTAATATAACAGGCATTATGTAATGTCCGCAACCCGTAAGTAAACTTCTCACACATTTTATGTTACATTATGGAGCCAGCATAATCTGAAATTATAGTTTGCAAACGGTTATGCAACGCTAATGTGATGCTAACGTGTTGCTAACTTGATGCTGACCTGTTTCAGTAGGAAAGCAATAGTTACGTAGATTACTGCATTCGGTTTTTGAAAAAAAATTAATTAATTACCATTCTGAAACATCCTGTTGTAAGCGCATTTACAGTTTTTTACGATTGCTTACACACTAAAATTAAACTTTTCCAACAATTAGCAAAACCTTACACTCAAGGAGCAAAACACAAGGCTAGATTTGCACAACTGTAAGCAAATTGTCAGCTTCACACTATTTGCAAAACATTACACACAGTGATTTGCAAAACACTAAACACACTTGTATACATCAGACACAGAAGTAAATCATGATGTCACTTCCTTGCAATTCCAAAGCACTAACTGTCAAATTACCACACCTATGAGCCAATCTGTTAAACACAGCCATCAGGTGCACAAACACATGATTGCTAAATTGTAGACACACCAATCAGGTTTAAGCACTATAAAAATGCAGCAGGTAGGCTCACCTGCCTTCAACCAAAATGGAAGGAGTCAGAAGAAGAGTGAGGGTGAGAGGAGGAGTACACAGAGGAGGAGAAAGAGGCAGAGGCCGAGGAAGACCTGAAGCAGGAGGAGAACGTGCACAAAGAAGAAGAGGACCAAACTTATCAAATGACATTCGTGCAACACTAGTGGACCATGTTGTGAACCACGGATTGACGCTGAGGGAGGCTGGACTGAGAGTTCAGCCAAATCTTAGCAGATATACAGTGGCATCTGTCATAAGGACTTTTCGACAGGAAAACAGGTAAAAGAAGATCTGTCTACAGTTACAGTAATCAGCCGCTTATTGTATGCACCATATCAGCACTTGTGATACCCCTTCCTGTGACATTGTACAGTAAGTTACATGTATTATTCTCTACATAGGATTGAGGGTCGGGAACGACAAGGAGGAAGGGGGCCCATATTCACGCAAGAACAAGAGAGAGAGATAATAAACATGGTTTTGGCCAATAATGCTATCAGGCTCAGAGAACTACAAGCAAACATTATCGGTGACCATGCCATTTTCAATAATGTCCATCAGGTCTCTCAGTCAACACTGGCACGCATCCTGAAAAGACATCAGGTTCAAATGAAACAACTTTATCGAGTGCCTTTTGAGCGGAATTCAGAGAGGGTCAAACGGCTGCGGCATGAGTATGTGGAGGTTTGTATTGTTCACTTTAGCACTGTGATGTTGCATACTCCACACATTACTTTTTTACATTGACTGTAATATACTAGACCTATCCTGAACTACACAATGTTGTCTTTCACTGTATTTCAGAGAGTTTTGCAGATGGATGCTGAGGAAATCCTGCATGAATTCATATATATTGATGAGGCAGGGTTCAACCTCACAAAAGCAAGAAGGAGAGGCAGAAATATCATTGGCCACAGGGCTATAATCAATGTCCCAGGGCAACGTGGGGGTAACATCACCCTTTGCGCTGCCATTTCACAGCATGGGGTTCTCCTCCGTCATGCCAAAATGGGCCCTTACAACACACCTCACATTCTCGCATTTTTGGACCGATTGCACCACATCGTCACAGCAGGTAATGAAATGCACCAGATACAATACACTGTCATCTGGGACAATGTGTCATTCCACCGCTCTGCTTTGGTCCAGAACTGGTTTCAACACCATCCACAGTTGACAGTACTATACCTTCCACCATACTCTCCGTTTCTAAACCCTATCGAAGAGTTTTTCTCTGCATGGCGGTGGAAGGTTATCCGAAGACGAATTCATAGAGACCAAACTTGGTATAGGTAAGATTACATGAACGAGTGGTTCTATCATAAGCATGCATAAAACAGTATACAATACAAAAGACAATATACAAGAACAGTAACAACATACACAATGACCTGAAGTATATGTGTGTATATTCAAAGAAAGGTTTTCCTATGAATAAATTAGAGAAGAGTCCATTTTTATGGGCATTATGTGTCTGTTTTAGAGAGACTTGAGTAGGAGGAAGATTCTCTCTACATACTTTTAGGTCGTAAAAGTTTATCTGATCTGGATGAGGGGTCCTGGTTGCCATGGTAACCAGGGGCCTGGTGTCGTTCACATACATGCTGGAACCCAGTAAGTTTATTGGGTGAGGGGTCTGTGATTATTTGTTAATCTAATGAATAATTGATTTGTTAAATCTAATGAAAAATGGTGTGTCTGATTGGTCCAAATGCTACAGTGAATTGAGCTCATGGAATAAACAGTGCATTACTCAGGCTCAAGTCCAGTCTTGGTGAATCTGCCCTAAAGTCTGACGATGAACACAGTCACTTGCTAAACTCAAAACATTGTAAATCATTAGCGAGTACATTTTGGAAAGCAACACTTTATTGATGAGCTCAGCAGATACAAACCGAGAGAAACACACACAGCCTCAAAAAGAGTCTATTTACAGCCTTACAAAACATGTGCGTCTGTAATGTGTGTGTGTGTGTGTGTGTGTATAGTGTAGTGTAGTGTGTGTGTGTATAGTGTAGTGTAGTGTGTGTGTGTATAGTGTAGTGTAGTGTGTGTGTGTATAGTGTAGTGTAGTGTGTGTGTGTATAGTGTAGTGTAGTGTGTGTGTGTATAGTGTAGTGTAGTGTGTGTGTGTATAGTGTAGTGTAGTGTGTGTGTGTATAGTGTAGTGTAGTGTGTGTGTGTATAGTGTAGTGTAGTGTGTGTGTGTATAGTGTAGTGTAGTGTGTGTGTGTATAGTGTAGTGTAGTGTGTGTGTGTATAGTGTAGTGTAGTGTGTGTGTGTATAGTGTAGTGTAGTGTGTGTGTGTATAGTGTAGTGTAGTGTGTGTGTGTATAGTGTAGTGTAGTGTGTGTGTGTATAGTGTAGTGTAGTGTGTGTGTGTATAGTGTAGTGTAGTGTGTGTGTGTATAGTGTAGTGTAGTGTGTGTGTGTATAGTGTAGTGTAGTGTGTGTGTGTATAGTGTAGTGTAGTGTGTGTGTGTATAGTGTAGTGTAGTGTGTGTGTGTATAGTGTAGTGTAGTGTGTGTGTGTGTGTGTGTATAGTGTAGTGTGTGTGTGTTGTGTAGTGTAGTGTAGTGTAGTGTGTGTGTGTGTGTGTGTGTGTCCTGAGCAGCATCAGAGCCCAGAGCAAACACACAGACTCTGGAAGACCAGTGACTCTCAGAGAGCTCAGGATCAAACTATCAAACTACATTTATTCCTATTGTGTTCATCGCCACAGGTAAAAAAAAAGTTATAGAAATACAACACTGAGCTGAGTAAAACATCACTTATACTTTGATTCAGTTAGGATCAGATACAATGTGTTTATACGTTTGGATGGGTCTAATTAAAACTCTAATGAAAAAAAAGTGTGTCCGCTACCAATGCTATAGTTCAACGTCATCACCAAAATTCAATATATTATAAGACAAAAACTCTTATTTGAATAAATATGTTTTATGATGGTTCAGATGAACTGACATTTACAATAATACATAAACATCTAATGAATAACACATAAAACAGAGCAAAATCGACCAGTAAACCCTGTGCGATGCAGCTGAGCTCATGCAGAGCGCGCAGGTGTGATGATGATGATGATGATGATGAAGAGTGAGCTGCTCTCCGGAGGAGCGTCACGAGGCCTGAGCGCAGGCCGGAGCAGGTCCGGGGTCCAGCTGCGCCAGTGAAAGAGCTGCAGGAATCATGGGAAGGAGGTCAGTGCTGTGCTGAGTTACTCCACACGCTGCTCTCACCTCGTTGGCAGTGTTGTGAGTTCCCACGATCGCCTGCTTGTCAAACGAGCGCATCTGCCAGGATCTGACGGGGAGAGGAGACGCCACGCTGAAGACTGAAACCTCCTCTACACCAGGCACGCTTGCATTTAGTGACGCACTCAAACTACAGTCTACTCAAACCAACATTTAGCAGGAAATCAAAACTGTAAATACACTCAAACGTTTTTGAACAGGAAGATTTCAATGTTTTTAAAGAAGTCTCTTCTGCTCACCAAGCCTGCATTTATTTGATCAGAAATACAGCAAAAGCAGTAATATTGTGAAATATTTTTACTGTTTAATATAACTGTTTTCTATGTGAATATCTGTTAAACTGTAATTTATTTCTGTGATGCGCAGCTGTATTTTCAGCATCATTACTCCAGTCTTCAGTGTCACATGATCTTCAGAAATCATTCTAATATGCTGATTTGCTGCTCAAGAAACGTTTCTGATTATTATTATTATTATTATTATTACTAATGATTTAACCTGTTCTTTTGGATGGTGACATAAAACACGGCAGTGCTGTGTCAATCAATGGGTCAGAGATGGAAAAAATAAAGAGATGTATAATATGCCCATTTACAGCTGAGGTGAAAGTGTGAGTAGATTTCAATCATGTACTTCCAGTACGCTGTCACTTCAGGCCCCAATATACTCACAGCATAGTACTTTTGAAATTTGAGATACCCGATCAACAGTGTACCGTTTGTGAACATTCAGGAGCCACCCATGCTGCTGGGAGCCATGTTCAGAAGAGATACGCAAATAGATATATGTTGTGTGCAGCGTCATTCTTCAGTTTTCTCTTAAAATACATCAGGGCCTAACAGATAGAGACTCTAGGTAACTTGTATACTTGTATACAGTTACCTTCTCAAAACACCTGGTAGTGTTTCTCACTGCTGGCCATTAGGAGGCGCTGTTTAGTTTCTAGTGTCCGTCAGAGCTTGTCTTCATACTAGCTTTGACACTGTGCTGATCAGCTCCTTCACGATGTATCACGGTGACTATATAGTTCCCATGGTCATTGTTTGCAAAGGTGCTGATCAGTTGACCAAAGTGTGTGCTGCTCTGAGACGTTTGTTTTCCTCAGCAGTATAAAGATCTCATCTGAAGATCAGTGGACATGTCATTGTGATTAGGCTATGGTGCTGTTATGGTGATTGTTAGTACTTTTTGGTGCTTGAAACTTGTGGCTCTATGAGGAATAGATTTATGTCAAGATTCTTCAGATTCTCCTTTTGTGTTGTAAAAACAAGCATAGCCTATACAGGGTTAAAGCGATATAAATAATGGCAGAATTTTCATATTCAACGTCTCCTTAAATCTCCTGAGGTCCTCTGAAAACTGTTTTTTTTTTAAATTTCATGACAGGACAGATCAAACAGTGCAAAAGTGTGTGTGTTTAAAACATTCTTTATTTTTCGTATCAGATTACATTTTTAAAACAGAAGGGTTCAGACGTCTTCCACACTAATGACATGAGATGACTACCCAGGAGGAAACAAGTGCACTTCCACAATGTACTTAGTGCTCATTTTCACACACTCATTTTGTACTTAATATACTAAAAATTAACCTACTAAGATAATCTTAAGAACATCTAAGTGTACTCAACTGTGCTATTTTGCGACACCATAAATATGAACTAAAATGTGCTTGTAACATACTTCCTCTGTAAAAAAAAAAAAAAAAAAAGTATTTAGTTACAACTTTTGAGAGTACTAGTGTATGCAAGATGGTTTCAAGTTACAAGTGGTAACTAAATAAATTTTTTTAAACACAGAGGTAGTATGTTAAAAGCACATTTTAGTTCATATTCATGGTGTCCCAAAATAGCAGAGCTGAGTACACTTAGATATTCTAAAGATTATCTTTTAAAAAGTACTAAAGAATAATTTTTAGTATGTTAAGTGCAAAATTAGTGCATGAAAATAGAGCACTTTAAGTGCATTGTGGAAGTGCACTTTTTTTCCCCTGGTTTGTCCACAAATATGCATACATTTATGTATATGACATCATAAAAGACAGTTGTGGAATGATATTATTCACGATTAGATATTTCTAACAAGTAGTAACAGTAGGCTTCGGTTAAATAAGGATGAGAGCATGACAGGTTGGTTTCAGATTAATCAATTACAGGATACAAAAAGAAAACTTTCCTTTTTGATGAACCTAATAATCCTTTGTTACGTATCAAAACCAAAAGGAAGATCATGCTACAAATAGAAGAGTAAACATGAGCATAAATAACAGATTAGGTAGACAGTTTGAGACACAGTAACAAATATACAGACTTGGGTGTTTTTTAAACTAAGCTCTTTGAAGCATCATGGTGTTTATATTTACTGGAAATGTTTCCATGTATATCTCTGTTGGAGCTCTCAGGAGAGAAAAAAGGCCTTAATCCAGCTAATCTGTAATCTCCTCACCCACAAACCCGCTGTGTGTGTTCAGACCAGCAGTGGACGGCTCGGAGTCTGTGCTGTCTGCTGTCGTGGACGCTGTGGTTGCTCTGTGAGAAAACACAAAACAAACATAGTAGGGAAACTCAAGAAAGGAATCAAAAACCAAATGGTGTTATAAACCTCTTTCAGAAACAGTGACGCTGATCTGTCAAAGCCTTTTCTGTCTACAAAATGTCTAAACAGCTTAGAAACTTGAAGGTTAGTTGAATATAAATTCTACAGTATACTTTATTAGGGGTTGACAGCTAGCTAGCTGGTTACTGTATCTGTTCTTAATGTAGGCCATCAGGACAGGTGAGATCTCTCAGCTCAGGGCTCCAGACAGGTGCACAGATGCTAATCTACAGGGATTGAGTTGAGCCTCACTCAGATTAACACTGCTGATGAGATTAACATGAAAAGGGGGGCAAAACCGGGTCGGGTTCTCCAGACTCACAACCCCTTATTTCAGACATTTTCTGTCATATAAGACTTGTGCTGTGAAATAAATATGTGAGCAATTCCCCAAAAACGAAAAAAAAACAAAAAAACCTAACTTGTGACTTTTAATTATAAACAATTCTGAAATACACCGGGACTCTTATTTTGAAATGTCTATAGAATTGCGGGCTGATCCTTCTTCAAATGAGAGATAAAATATGCATTAAAATTATGCTTACAAAATGATCATTATGTTTGTTTTACCATTCCATGTAGGCACACATCTATTTTAGTCGCAAAAGCGACTGAAGCGCCCGCACTGTCGAGCCCTGTCTTTGTCTGTGAAATATCCACCGCGTCTCTGCAGCGCACGTGGGAATGTCAGCGGGAGGAAACGGTTCTCGCGCACACAGAACGAGCAGATACGAAACATGTAGGGCAAGGGGAGATTTTCCACTAGTTAATCGATCACGCATGGTTTCATTATTTCGGGTGGATAAAAAAAAAAAAAAAAGATATTAATATACTTGGGCGGCCGTTAATATACCTGGGCGGCCCGCCCAAGTAAAGTCTATGTGTGGGAAACAATGGATTCTTAACATTATAAATGGTGATGGGGTGATAATCAGTTGTATGGCAAGATAGTAGCAATCTTCACAATGATAAATATGCAAACCAGTTTCAACAAGAAACCCCAAAGCTGAGGGAAAGAGATGGGTGTTTGTTTCCTGAGATGTAGTAGCTATTAACAAGTAGCTGATATATTAACTATTTTTAGACTAAACGAAACCACAATTATGTTGATGAAGGCGGATCAGATTAGAAAGATTTAATCAGCAGGCTCTGTCATCTTCCACTGTTTTTGTATCAGGCGCATCTGTTGTGTCTGTTTTGTACGTCACCTACTGCACTAAATCCTTGAACTATTCAGACCTATATCATGCCATACATTTGCTAGGTATTGTATCACATGCAGTGACACTGAGATACTCACCCCTCACTGGTCAAAGGCGTGACATCATTGTCCTGGCCCTGTTGATTTTTGGCATTAGGCAATGACTGTGGCTGCTCACTGTGGGATGACCTTTGACCCGATGGACTGTGTCCCATAAAAGAAGGTTGAAGACGAGTAGTTGACAGTCTTCCTCTGGCAGGTTCTCCCCATGGCCGAGGTAAAGCAGACGTGCATGAACGTGTCCATGTGTGGGGGAGTGATTTGTTCTCCTGACAGAACACGGCCCGAGCTTCACAAAATGATTGTGTCCCATAAGTAGGAAGGCTGTTTTCTTCGGCCATCGCACATCTGTGTATACTAGAGGTGGCAGATGTTGTGGATGGAGTCCACTTCCCACTCGGGGGGTAGGCTGTGGATGGAGGACTTGGCACTGCGTGGCGCACAGTGGGACAGGAGGGTGGAAGCCGTGCCCTCGACACAGGGGGAGTTGTTGGAGGAAAACATTTTGCTTGCATACTTGCAGTCTCGCCCTCATTGTGGTTTTCACATTCTTGATAAGGCGTGGAACCGTGCAAACCTGCATTAGCCAGGGCTGTTTTCCCAGAAGACTCTGCAGGCTGATGAACAGCTTTGCGGCAATTCTGGTCAAGGGTGTGTGCTGAATCTCTTTCAGAATCCACCCCAATCGCTTTTTTGTATTCCTGTTCAATGCAGGAACCCGGCAAAGCATCTTGCCTCACAGAGGTCATTGAGAAGCTCATGGAGCCTCGCTGTCTGCTTGCCCTGTGGGAGAGCACAGTCTCTCTTTGCGTTGAAGTGCGGAGCCTTTGCCCTCTGCACTGTAAATCATGAGCCCCGTCCTCAGTGGGTAACCCTAAACTGCTTTCAAATGAGTTGTCCATGAGCATCTCTGGGGGTGGAGGTGGGAGGCTGTCTATATCCAGTTGCTCAGGCCTGGGTTCAAGCGGATGGATGCTACTCTTGATATTCC